GTAAGTTTTGGATACTCGGTATTCGTAACCTAATTCGTACACGACTTTCAAAGTGTATTCAATGTTTTAAGGCAAAACCAATTGCGTGTCAACCCCTCATGGGGAACTTGCCGCCGTTCAGAGTACAACAAACTCGTGTTTTTCAGAAAGTAGGTATAGATTTCGCAGGACCTTTTGTTGTAAAAGAAAGTCAAAGACGTAAGTCCAGGTTATATAAGGCTTATGCATGCGTTTTCGTGTGCCTCGCTGTGAAGGCTATTCATATTGAAGTTGTCACCGAATTGTCTACTCAAGCCTTTATCGCAGCGTTAGATCGTTTTGTCTCACGACGTGGTCTCTGTACAATAATAGTCACTGACAACGGCACCAATTTTATCGGTGCAAAACGTTATTTAAATGAGTTACACAAATTTATACTACAAAATTATAACACCATTGTATCTAATTCGGCCTCCCGTCAAATTATGTGGCAGTTGAATCCTCCGACTGGAAGTCATTTCGGAGGCATCTTTGAAAGTGGTGTTAAATCCATGAAATACCACTTAAAACGAGTAATAGGGACTCAGGTTCTGACGCTGGAGGAACTGATAACAGTGCTTACCAAAGTTGAAACAGTTCTAAATTCGCGGCCTTTATGTAATATATCTTCGGATCCCAGTGAAGTAGACGTTTTGACACCAGGTCACTTCTTGGTTCAGGGTCCCTTAATATCACTACCTGAGCCAGACTTAGTCGATCAGTACATTGCTCCTCGAGAGCGCTGGCAGATGTTACAAAAACTTACCCAGTCCTTTTGGCGTGTCTGGCAACGCGATTACCTGCATACTTTACAACAACGTGCAAAATGGTTCCAGAATCAAACTAACTTACAGTGTGGAGATATAGTACTAATCGTTGAAAATAATGTGCCACCTTTAGAATGGCGTTTGGGCCAAGTCGTAACTTTGCATCCCGGCAGTGACGGTGTAGTGCGTGTCGTTACAATCCATACCTCACGTGGTCAACTTCGGAGACCAGTGACAAAGCTTTGTCCTTTACCGAAAACCCATTAGGTACCTAGCTAAGAGTTTTTTGTTTAGTTTATAGGATCTATTATAATATTAAGATAAAGTTAAAAAATATTTTTTTTTGGTATGTAGTAGCTATGTAGTAGTAATATATATATAGTGTTTCATAAAGCTATTTATACTTTGAAATCGTAAGAGATTTCAAGTGGGGGGATTATGTTCTGGCTTGCCCTTGTTTCCGTTTCCTTCCTATCCATCCTGAAGATTCGTAGTGCCATCTCTGAAGCACTGTGGAAACTATGTCGACGTGCGAAGCAACCTAGCGCCATCTCAAGGAAGAAAAGAGAAGATGTGTGACACAAAATAAATAATAACAATCCGACGTTCGATCGCGCGCGAGTGACACTATCTAAATTATATAAAGAAAACTATAATTCCATTAAAAGGAAACGTGTGAGCCGGTTCAAATTACATACAGAAATCTAAGTGATAACAAAATCAATAAGTGCGCGAGGAGTCATCACCCGCAGGCCTGGAACCTGAGGCGACCGTTGCCAGCACATCAAGTGAGTCCATCAGTTCCTGTTTCCTTCCCTTAGCCCAGATATTACTAAATGACAATTTATTTTCATTAGTGAAAAGCAACAAATTTAACGAACAAAAGTTCGATGGAAAAATTGAAAATGAACTCGCAGAGCTTTAAAATTTGAAACCTCAGTAGTACACAAAAAACAAGAAACTATTTTTATTAACTTTTTATGTCGCAATCGTTCAGTAAAGCATAAACTGATACAGGCAGTTTTTCTTTTAAATCTTTAGGAATGTCATACATAGCTCTTTGCAAAAACTGCCAAACTGGCAAGCATTCATCTTCATATTTCAGGTTCAATGCCCATATAATTTTAAAGCAAGTATCTACTGCACTACATGTGTCAGGCAGTTCGTATATCAAGTTATCAACGATAACATACCTTCCGGTGATTTTTTCTAGTGCACCAACGACAATGATGTATGGTTGTTCTGTACTACCAAGAGTCTTTCTCGTGTCGTTTACGGCATTCTTCGTTGATCAAGGTTACGTTTTCAATGCGTGTGATGAAGCTTTCTCGGACTTCTGCCACAGAACATTTCTTCTTCCCGATTTGAACTGGTCCCAGAAGATGTGGAATAGTAAGAAGCGCAGCAATATTGCTAGTCTCTGGTACAGAGCCTGTTAAAAAGAAAGATTATTATGTATGAACAGAATAAGTTGTCGTATGCTGCATAGCTGTGCTATTGGAAAACAACGAGTGTTCTATCCAAGCCAGCCTAAAATTGAAGAGTTTTTGCTGTTTGATTTTATTATGTATTTTCTTTACAAGAGAATAATAAAAATAAAATACTTTATTCTCTTAACTTTAAAGATTTAAAGATTCCTTGTATATGTTATGGACCAAGTGATAAATTGGGCAGTATACATAGTGTCCAGTCATTATGAAAAATGCGCAATATGAGAGGGCAATTTGATAATAATTATTCAAATAATCAAACTGACCGGGCATTATACATATTGTCCATCACCTTTTGGGCAGAGTAATACAAACATATTTAATCACTACTTTTTTATTGTTATTGTCATTTAACTTAAAATAAACTAAATATTAAACTTATATAATCACACTCATTATGTGGATTAATTACCAAGGACTTCTTCCTTAAAAATCCACTAGTTTTTGCATTTAAAACTTAAGGAAAGTCATATTAAAATATAACATAAAATGTAATTAAATTTAAAACGAAAATTTCACAATAGAAATCAAATGAAAATATAAGTAAAATAGAACATAAAATTGAAAACAATAATTATACAATATGTAGCAAGTAACAGGTTTATTTATTAGAGCAACTGCCACTGTAATGGCATTTTGAGGTACACAACTTATTGGCTTTGCGACAACTACATTTATCAGACTTGCAACCACCTTTACAACCACATCTACTATAACCTTGCCCTCCGCATTTAGAAGACATTCTACAATACTCTCTCAGCGAAATCTCTGTCTCTGGAACATCTTCAGGCGAAATAAATCTTTCCTTGCAGACAGTAAATTGGTTTCTTGAATAAAGTTGATTTAAAACACCTTGTTTTGTTCCCAGTTTATAAAGGTTATTGGCTGTTAATTCAATAACTGTAGCAAGCATATTTCTTCCATCGCTACGAGCGCGATCAACATCGGGAACTCGGACTCTTACAGTGTCACCAATTGCAGCCATGGGATATTTAGCGCTTGATACATCCAACATTTTATTTGCTTGTTTCTGCAAATTTCTTAAAGCTAGTTTCCTAACTGCCATAACATTTTCTTTCTTGCGCTCTAGGTTTTCGTTTTCGTATGTGGGTATTGGATTTGAATCTGTATCTGAAGTTTTCTCAGACTCCTCATCTACGGTAGACTCCACTTGGTCAGTTTCGATGGGCTCGAGTTGATCATTTTCGGCGGACTCTACTTGATCATTTTCGGCGGACTCTACTTGATCATTTTTGGCAGACTCTTCTTGATCATTTTCGGTGACAACCACTAGATTCCTTTCGGTAATAGTGCTCTCAGTAGATAATAGTTTCTCCAAGTCTTCTTCTGAATTAATATCAAGCAGAACCTCATGTGGTATAGAAGAACTTTTCAGCCCTACTTTCAACTAAGTTCCAAACATGGCTTCATATGGAGTACAGTTAATACCTGTGTGATGGGTATCATGCAAAATCTGAAATATCTCGTTGTTTTTCACGTAGTACCTAATCATATTGTCTTTGACTGGAACAATCAATTTCTCTGTTTCTCCAACAGCCATGACGTCAAATCTTCGCAAACGCTGATAATCTTCAGGTTTTTTATGCGACTTCTTTGATTTTGCAGATTTTACTTTTCCAATCATCTCATTATAGCTTTCGTTGGTGAAAAATTAAGTATTTTGTCTTTTAAGTAACATTAATTCACTCAATCTTTCGTCAAATTGACTATTCATTACGTTTAATTTCGAAATATCCATGATTAATTATTAAAATACACACTAACAGCTAAGTATTTCACTATAGTTCCCCAAAGTTAAATGGTTGTGGAGTTTGTGAATTTCCATATCATTTGTAAAATGGGGAAAAATTTCCATACAAACCTTATATGCTTTTTTTCATAAGTCCAGAATTTAGAAAATTTCCATACAAACTTTACCCTCATTTACTTATCTCTTGTTAAATTTCTAAAAATCCTTTCATTATGCTCACTTATGTACATAATGAAAAGAACAAGTTTCTAGGGGGACTACTGGACATTTTGCGAAATGGACATTCTGCGAAAAGGACATTTTGTGACTGCTGGATATTTTGAAAATTGGACATTCTGCGTCTAAACGCCGAGGGCGTCGTTTTACAAAACCACACCTATATGTAATGGGTACAAGAGACTTATACTTTACTCGTGACTTATTTTTGCCCGCGGCTTCTCCCGCGCAAGATTTCCTTTCTTAGTGCTCACTTACGTTATAAAGAACCTATATGCTAAATTTCAGGACTCTAGGTGCAGTGGTTTCGGCTATGCTGGGTAAGTCAGCTAGTCAGTCACCTTCCTCTTTTATAGATTGTGTGAAAACCAATCGCTGATGTTGTAAAAATAAAACAAACAAAAAAACTCACTATTCACGAGATTCTTTAGTTCCCGAAAAAATGGACTTTTGTTTGAGACGTTTTCAAACAGTACAACCAACTTCTTCTTTAAAAGTGGAAACTTATTTTCAAAGCTATTTTCATTTCCAGGGTACCACCGGTCGAAATCTGCTGTAAGCTGGAACAATGATCACTTATGTTATGATTGTGATTAATTTTAATAGCTTTGACAAAAAACAATAACAACACAACCCCTGCCTTCATATAACGATTCAGTATGAAAATACCAAACTTTATTTATGGAATAAATTCAGCAAAGTCGTAGAACAAGACTTGCTCAGTTTCAGGAGCAGAATCTACACTACAAGTATTGCACAACTTCCAAAATACACCCTGTACTTAATACTTTACAATTTCATTTGTTAATAATCTGGCCAAGTGCGAGTCGGACTCGCGCACGAAGTGTCCGTACCATTATCAATAACTAGCAGTCCACCCCGGCTTCGCCCGTGGTACAAAAATGGCCTATATTACTCAGGGAGAATGTAGCTTTTCAAAAGTAAAAAAAAAAAATTTTATAAAACGGGCCATTAGTTTTTGAGTTTACTGGTAAAAATCATACAAAAATACTAATCTTTCCACTTTATAATATTAGTGTAGAAAACGGCAAGTGACAGTGAAATTTTGACAGACAATGTATTAACATTGTCTGTCAAAATTTCACTGTCTAGTTATCACGGTTCATGATACAGCCTGGTGACAGACGGACAGACAGATGGACAGAGGAGTCTTAGTAACAAGGTCCCGTTATTACCCTTTGGGTATGGAACAATAAAAAAGCCAAATTGTATTACACCTGAATACTTACTAATTTGTTGAATCCAATGTGAATAAACGTCATTTGTTACAGGTAATTTAGGATCATGTTTTAATATTTGTGCTGCAATTTCTTTGACCAAAGTTTTTCTCAATGTTTTTCCTAAGGCTTCTGAATGCTGTTTAAGAAGAAGTCTTCCTTCTTGAGTAGTTCGGAGAAGCTGGGTTAAGTCCTGAGACGGATAGAAAAGGCTTGAGTCAGACATCAGGCCTCTTGCAGAATAATTAATAATCACTTTGATTTGAAATAATATTATTAAAATTTTTAAAATCACAACCATTCAAGCAACTTAAAATGTTTGCATTTGAAACTGATGTACAAATCAGCTGGCAGTCCAATAAAATATAATTTAATCAAGGTACTTAAATCGGTTTTGTTAAATTGACACTGATTAATTACATAGCAATACCCATCGAGATATAATGTGCCATACTCACCAATTTTGCATTTGAGTATATGTCAAGGGAGCACAAAGATCTACTCGATGTAGGTGTGGACACTGGAGAGGTTATTGGGGAGTTTTCACTCGGTGCGAGTCCTCCTACAGAGCTGCCATATATGTCTACTAATTTGCAGATAGCTTCATCGTTGTTTGCTGTTTTAGCATGGTCTTCTTCTTTTCCTGCTTTCCAGTCTGCTATTGCCTTTTTGAACTTAGCTTGTGGGCCGATGCTAGGAATCAAGGCTTCTATTTGTTTATCATCTAGTAATGGCAATGCAATTATGTCAACTTCGTTTTCTAAAAAATAAAATGATTATGTAACTAGGTAAGTGAAAGGTAAGCCAGAGTCATTTTGGTAGGTTAACCTTTAACTAGTGATGTAAAAATAAGTCTCAGTATTAGTAACATACCATAATTTTGATGTTATAAAAAACCAAAATTATGGAAAGACCAAGTCCATTTGCCACGGCCAAAATACTGGGGACTGACTGCATGTGGAATGACTTATATTATTTTATATACAAAATAATGTCTTTCTATCTTTTAACAAAACACTATTATCATATAATAATAGTAATATTTATTAAGAAAATGTTCATCAGGACCTTAGTATCAATTTTTGAACTTTTTTCTTAGACATGACCTCAATATTCAAACTTTATGAATATTCGGAAGTTAGCCGCAAAACCATGCGCAGAACACGATTTAAGGTGTCAGCGGGACGTACAGGAGCGCGACGAAGGAGCCCCACCCCCCACGCTTCACACGCGCACCCGCAGTTGCCGCTTGAACTTGTAAGAGTAGTGTTAGCCACGTCTCAACACTACACACACGCGCGCGCTGCTTAGAAAGTACAGTCGAGAAAAAAATATTGTTGTTTCTTAATTACGTTTTTGTTATTTTTTTGTATTGTTAAGTTTTATTGTTATTCTCGTTACGTTTTTCACTTTGTTATTTGTTGTTGTATTGGTGAACAACCATGCCACGTGGGCGTTTTAACGTTCTACGTCGTCAAGCAAGAAAAATGGTATATACCGTAATGCAGTTTATGAAAAAGGAAAGTGAAGAAGGTGTTCAAGTTCCGCTGAATTGTGTGCTTCGAAGAACGGCGCTAGCTACAGGTGTTTCTTTAAGTACCGTGCAAAGGATATCGGCAGCAGCTCAGAAGTCTGGCATGTTAGCAGTTTTTCGTACACCTGGAAAAAAAAGGGCAGGAAAAAAACGTGTCACCGGCATTGACAACTTCGATCAAGGAGTTATCAAGAGATGCGTACATAACTTTCACGTGACTGAAAAAGAATTACCAACTTTAAAGCAGTTAAAAAAGAAATTAAAAGCGGACATAAATTTCAACGGATCTGAAACAAGTTTAGGACGAATATTGAAAGAATTAGGGTTCACCTGGAAAAAAGCTCAAAATGAAAGAAAGGTTTTGATTGAACAGTCAAACATTAGATTGCAACGCATAGAATACCTACAAAAAATCAATAGATACCGCTCGGAGGGACGACCAATTGTATATACCGACGAGTCATATGTTGATAGCTCACACAGCTTATCTAAGTCCTGGAGTGATGGGTCTGTGATGGGATTGAAAACTAAAATATCAAAAGGACAACGTGTGGTCATCGTGCACGCGGGGTCAGAAGCAGGTTTCGTACCAAATGCATTACTCATGTTTAAGGCTGGTACAAAAAGTGGCGATTACCACGATAACATGAATTTCACCAACTATGAAAAGTGGGTAAAGACTCTTCTCGTTCCAAATTTGCCCCCTAATTCGGTTGTCGTGGTAGACAATGCTTCATACCACAACAAACAGGAGGAACCAGCGCCAACTTCCAACTCAAAAAAAGCTGAAATGCAAAAGTGGCTTCAAGAAAAAAACATTTCCTTCGAGGAAACCATGTTGAAGCCGCAATTATTCAAGCTTATTAAGCAAAATAAAGAATGCTTTAAGACATTCAGCATTGACAAAATATTAAAACAAAATAATCACGATGTTTTGCGACTTCCACCCTACCACCCTGACCTTAATCCCATCGAAATGGCATGGGCAGCCATTAAACAGCATGTGGCAAAGAAAAATGTTACTTGGAACATTAATGCTGTTATGCAGCTTGTAAAAGAAAAGGTGAATCAAATGGGTGAAACTGAATGGCGGGCACTGTGCCAAACAGTCAAAGATATCGAAAAAGTGACGTGGTCATCGACGGATTGACAGAAGAGTTGGTGATTCACCTTAGTGAATCGGATACCGAGTCCGATTCAAGTGAAGACGAGGAAAGTGAGAGTTCGATGGATGACGAACCTTCCACGAGTAGAGAAATGACGATGGAGGGAATAGAGCCATTAGAATAAAACAAATATACCGGTTAAGTGCGAATTGAACTCGCATGAACAGTGTTTCGCAAGTTTTTTCATTGTATTTAAGCCCCCTATAATGTCACTGTTGCAAAATTCATTTATTTTTATTTTTTATTTCATATCTCATCTGTGTTTTAACCACAAAAAGTGATACATATGTACCAAATTTTAATTCAATAAATAACATGAAAATGTAGTAACAGTTTTGTTTTTTTTTGACTGTGCACTCAAGTGTATAAAATGGATACGGGTAAAGCATCAAAACATGTATCTGGAACTCTATGATCCCGTGATAAGTTTTTGATACTTCTTTGATGCTACGTCCATATCTATGTTTATTTACTTGACTGTACCTGCGCGCATCTGCACTTGCGGCTAAGTTCAGAGAAGTCATAAAGTTTGAATCTGTCTGCAATTGGCCGATAAATATCTGCACTACTTGTAGTTGGATTAGAAGATTGGGAAGCTTCATTTGTAACATTGGTGGTTGTTGTAGTTTGAGTTTGCATGGATGGCAATAAGAACAAGAGATTATCGAAGTACACGTATTTCCTTTTCTTCTTTGCCGCCTGTCCCGATTTAACATTTTTAAGAGCTGAGAATTCTTTAGCATTCTTTAGTCTTTAACGATTTTCCATTTTTTTTGCACTTCTTTTCCTGAAACAAAAATATGCACCCTAATTAATAATATTAATTATTATTATTTTTCAATTTCTTGCAGGTATCTTGGCACTGGAAGTAGTTTTTATTCTTTGCACTTTGAATACTTGTTGGGACATACAACAATCAGGGAAATCGTTTCTCATACTTGCAAACAGCTTATTAAAGTTTTGCAGCCATTATATATGCCAGGTGCAAAAAACGAAGAAGAGTGGAAAAATATTTCTAAGTTATTTTATGATAAAACTAATTTTCCTTATTGCGTGGGTGCACTTGATGGAAAACACGTGAGATTAACAAACCCTGACGGTTGCGGTTCTGAATACTACAACTATAAACATTTCTACTCTAAAGTATTATTAGGAGTCTGTGACGCTGATTGCAACTTTATAGCAGTAGACATAGGTGCTTGTGGCTCTAACAGTGACTCGACTATCTTTCAAAACTCAAATTTTGGGGAAAAATTACAAGATGGTGCTTTAAATATTCCTGCTCCTGAAAAACTTCCAGGTGATACTGGAAATCCTATGCCATTCATGTTTGTTCGCGATGAAGCCTTTGCTTTAACAAATAAAATTTTAAGGCCATACCCCAGAAAGCATTTGAATGTTAAAAAAAGAATATTTAACTATAGATTAACTCGTCCAAGACGTCTAATTGAATGCGCATTTGGTATTTTGTCAAATAAATGGCGAATTTTCCATCGCTCATTAGATGTAAATCCAGAAATGTGTGATAATATTATTTTGACATGTTGCGCATTGCAAAATTACGTTCTAAAAAAGGACAGAGGGCTACTATTGGAAGATGAAATTATTGACTGCATTTTTGAGAATGTCAGCAGCTGCAACATTCGGTCTACGAATAATGCAATGGTTATCGGGGACTACTTTGCAGACTATTTTACGTCTCCGGTGGGTAGTGTTCCTTGGCAATATGAAAAATTTAAAATAATAACAATAAATAATTGTATTATACCCCAAACTATTTATAACACTAACAATTACCTAGCTGTGTAATAAAAAAACTGAATTAATAAATAACTATACATACCTTTAATGTCTTTTTCATTTTCATTCAATATAACCCATTCTGAAATACTTCCCTTCATACTTCCGCCCACATTATTTTTTATTATTCGGTTGCTATATTCCTTTCATTTTTTGTCATAAAGAGCGGGTCGTTTCTGCACCGAGATGATTATTTTTTCGATTAATGATTCATCATGAATATCAGCCGCAGGTGAATAAATTGATGCTTAATCATCTGGCATGTTTATTCGAGACGAGTAGACTCTCCGACCAAGCGCAGCAGATTGACTAAAACGGCGGTGTTTTGCCGCAATGCGCCGCGGTACAAATGATTTGATTACCAAAAATCTGCGGTCGCCGCGCCGTTGATATTTTGTGATCGGGCGCAGAATTTTGGCGGCATCGGCGCAATCACCGCTAGTGCGCGCATCCATTTGCTATCATAACTAACACAACATAAACTGGCGGTGTTCCGCCGCGACTGTGTTTCGCCGCGAGGCCTAAAAACCGCAGGAATAATGAAGTGCGTCCGTGCTTTCGAGTAGTGATGCACCAACTCGAGTTCAAATTCCAATTAGAGTTGACACGAGTTGCAGTTGTTTCGGGTCAATTCGAATTTTTAGATTTTATTGTTTACTTGTGTTGTTTTTTTAATGTTTGGTTATACATATAGGTATTAAAGTTCGGTTGTTATAAGCTGATTTTATTTCGTGATTTGTCGAGTGTGTGTTTTAGTGGTATTTAACTTTGAGCCAATGTCAAGAAATCAGCGGTTTGAGAAACTATCCAGTCGCAAAAAGAAATTAGAAATTAACCCTTACCTACTCAAATTAAAAAAATAACAATATCAATTTCAATATTTAAGTTTTATACCTTTGTAAAAATAAAATAACATTTACAAATAACTAATAAGTCTGCAAAAACAATATAAAGCCTAAACAGAAACAAAGGATAATAGCATATTTTTCCCAGAACCTTATTTTTCTAAACTCAGTTAAAAATACTTGAAAATAAAAATTCATGTTGAAAACTAAGTCGCGGGCAACAGTTTGTATCATTTTTCTGAAGTGGTTTTATGGCCTTAGACTCCGTCTACCTCACTGTTTACGTATAATTTAACTGTTAACATTCATACACATACATAACTGTTATATTTATCAATTTCGCATTCACAATGCCATGCCTACTTTTCTCAGAGTGCCTGGGGCCGTTGGATTTTTTAAGCACTTTTTTATTAATAATATACTAAGTATAAGTTTTATTAAAATTACAATATCGACCACTAATAAATCTTAAGCCGGCCTCGCGGTGCAACGAGCCTCGCACCTTAAAATCGTAATTATTCAATAAAAAATGTAGGTAATTCAAATGTGCACGTTCGAATTTATTTATTACTAAAAAAATATGCTTTATATAGATGATAGAAATTGGTGAAGGTAATATTTACGTGGTCATTTAAACCGTAGTTTTCGACATCCTCATTAAGTATTTGAAAATAATGGTGTCTTTCTACAGTGCAGGTGTGTTTCATGTAGGCATTTTAATCAAATTAAGGATAAGACTTTAATTATTTAATTGTATTATAATTTATTGCAGATTTTGAAAATTATTTTATAAGATCTGTAGACAGATTTGACAACAAGCTTTTAATCTTTGACAAAAATATTTTTGTTTTTAAAATTTCGCATTCTTAATAATTCAAGCAGTTTTTATTTAGAATATATGTCAAAAAATAAAATGGAAATATAATGCTGAGTGAATGTCATCATGATTGAAATCTATGGTAATACAGAAGAATTGCAACACGACTGAATATTCTTTTTTTACCTAGAAAGCTTATGACTATTTTGAAACCGATCAACATATATCGATCCCTTTCAATCAATGAGAATTTCTCTGAGGACCGTCTTTAACGTATACTTAGCAGTGTAGCTGACTGTACATACATAGTATTACGTCTTTAACTCTTTATTGCACAAACCATATTAAAATTACATTAACAAACATAAATGAATACATGAAAATGTACAAAAGGCGGCCTTATCGCTAGGCAGCGATTTCTTCCAGGCAACCTTGCATGAAGGATGGAGAAAAAAAAAACAAACATTAGATGGCAGATTGTGCATAAAAAAAAATAAAAAAAAAAGTACATGGAGACAAACAAAATGCTCAAAACACAAGTGACAACCAGAAAGCGAGAAGTGTAAATAGAAAAATAGAAGAGCAGGCTAAACGTTAGAGAGGAAATGGGATTTTAATTGATATTTGAAGGAGTTTAACGAATTCGCCCGTCTGATAGATTCAGGTAGAGAGTTCCACAGTTTTATAGCGTGTACTGTAAAGGATTGACTATTGAATTTAGTGAGATTGGGAGGAATGAACAATCGTAAGTTATTAGAAGAGCGAAGCGAGAGATCATGCGTAGATGAGAGAAATTTAAAGCGTGATTTGAGATAAGGGGGCAACATGGGATTGAACAGTATAGAGTAGAGAAGCGAGAGCATATGCATATCCCTACGACTACGAATGGGGAGCCACTGAAGTTGCCTACGGAATTCAGAAACATGGTCATATTTGCGCAAACCAAATATAAACCGTATGGAAAAGTTTTGAAGACGTTCAAGCTTATTGAGAAGATCAAGTGTAAGATCAGGGTAGCATGCATCTGCATAATCAAGAAGGGGCAAGAGAAGTGAATGCGCAAGTGTAATTTTGGTGGAAATGGGTAAAAAATTGCGCAGCCGCCTAAGTGATCCGGAGGCAGCAAACATCTTCCGGCTAATCTCTGCTACTTGTGGACGCCAGGACAATGTGTTGTCAAAGATGATACCCAGATTTTTTACCGTATCAGCGAAAGGCACATGTACCCCATCAAATATGATAGGTGGTAATCTATCAAATTTAATCCTGGAAATGTAAAAGGAACTGCCAATAATTATACTCTGCGTTTTATTAGGATTAACTTTGACACCAAAAGAATTACTCCACTGGACGATTCGCACCAGGTCTGAATTAATAGCGCTAATAGCATCATCAAGTCGCTCAAAACACTCCTGAGAGTAAATTTGAAGATCATCTGCATACAAGTGATAGGAAGAAGAGAGTTGTTGGGTAATAGAATTAATAAAAATAGAAAATAATAACGGAGACAGCACACCGCCCTGAGGAACACCGGCAGTCGTGGACACCCACGTAGATACTGTATTTTCAGCACGTATACGTTGCCGGCGGCCATGTAAATAGCTACGAAACCAATCAAGCACCGCTGGAGATACGTTAAGGGAACGAAGTATGCCTAACAGAATGTCAAAATCAACAGTGCCAAAAGCGTTGCTGAAATCCAGTAACGTTAACACCGTTAACTTCTGATTCTCCATCCCATCACGAATGTCGTCTGTAATCTTAACTAAAGCCGTTGTAGTACTGTGTCCAGGGCGAAAACCCGACTGGTAAGGGTTAAATAGTTTATGTCTGTTAAGAAAGGAATTTAATTGTTGTTGGATAAGGCGTTCAAATATTTTTGAAAGTAAGGGAAGAATAGATATAGGACGAAAATCGGAGTGATTAATAGGCTTTGATATTTTAGGCAAAGGGATGATATGAGCATCTTTCCATGCATCGGGAAAAATAGAAGAAGAGATAGAAGCATTAAAAATTTTAGTGATGATAGGCGTAAGGATATCAAGCAAGGGAATCAACATATTACGGCTCACACAGTCTTCGCCCATTGCATTAGAAGTGACTGAGAGAATGTTCCGCTTAACGTCACAGTCGGTGACTTGACAAAAATCGAACGAAGGATAGTCAGGAGTAGGTAAATGTGAAAGATACTGTAGGGTCTGTTGCTTAATACTGCTGTTCATAGCGGGTGAAGTTGAAAAATAGTTATTAAGAGAATTAAAGTCAAAATCAAGTGAATGAGAATTAATATTGTTCGTTGACTTACCGACTCCCACTGACTTCAGGAACCTCCAAACCTTGGATGAATTTCCATTTTCAACTGACTTGTGAATATGGCGTTTTTGTGCATCCCTACACATTGTATTGCAGCGATTTCTAATAGCGTGGTAGTTAAGACGATTTAGTTCAGTTGGTCTAATTTTGAACTTAGCTTTAGCGCGGTTTTTCTTATCCATAAGACATCTAATGTTATCTGTCAGCCAAGGTGCCGGAAGATGCTTAACTTTGACTGGACGAACAGGGGCATGGGTGTTATAAAGTTGTAAAAGAAATTTATTAAACAAGTTAACCTGCTCATTAACGGTCGCAGCATTATCAATTAAAGACCAATCAATCTCAATAGCATCAGCTCGAAGGCGATCAATGTCCATACCACCAAAATTACGCAGCATAAGAATTTTAGGTTTAGCTTTTGGAGGTCGGATTTTGTAAGAAAGATACAATAGATCGTGATAGGAGAAAGCATCTGCAGGAATTTGACCATGTTTAGCAACATGATCCAAGGAAGAAACAATAACCAAGTCCAAAAGCGAGGGAGTACAGTTAGGAAAGTTATGCGTGGCATTTAAAGGGAGGATATGCATATTACTGGCGTCAATCAGATATTTAAGATTTTTGGAGCGGAAGTCATTTTTGAGGAGGCAGGTGTTGAAATCACCCATGATGATTGTGTGTTCAAACGAGGGTGAAAAATCCTCTAAGAGTTTTTCAAAAGAAGGAAAATAATTAATTTTCAAAGACGGACTGTAAAAAACTCCAAGAAGAACCTTTGTGTGTGAGATCATAATTTCGAGGAAAAGATGTTCTGCTGTACCAGGAGGAGGGGGCTGAGCTGAACGACTAATGATAGTGAATGGAATATGGCTACGCAGATATATAGCCACACCACCATGTGAAGTATTAGTTCGGTCATTACGAACTAGGGTAAAACCAGGAAGTGTGTATGAGTTCGTAGGAATAGAAGGATGTAGAAAAGTCTCGGAGATCAAGATTGCATGAACATTCCTATTAGAGAAGGTAGATAAAAGATCAGGGTAATGAGCCGGAACGCTTTGAGCGTTGATATGCACCACATTAAAGTTTTTAGAGACATCTGATACAGCAATATCAAGGGAAGCTCCTAAGGAAGGTAGGCTAGAGAAACTATCATCACTGTTCAAACCCTCAGAAGATGTACAGGAAAGAAAGTCCTCACTATGATTATCACTGGAATCTCGCATTTGTAACATAGGGTACTCAAGTCACAATACTAAAGATACTGAAAAAAAAATAAAACTAATAAAAAGAGATAAAAAAAATAAAAAACAAACGTAAAAGTACAATACAACACAATACGCACAAATAGCCAGCAACAATACATGAAACAATGGTGACAAATTCAGCTGTACAAAAAATACAAAAAGAATTCGCACCATTAATAAAATTAATTACTAAAACCACTATATAATAAAGACAAAAACAAAAAATAAGATGT